AGTCCCGCCCGCCCGGCCACAGGGCCCGGACCTGCTGGGTCCCCGCTGTGCCCCGACTGTAGTGGCCAGTGCATGAAAGGCCCTGGCCAGGGCGCATTCCGAGCTGGCTCTGTCCTCTGCTGTCTGTCCCAGCCGTGGTGAGGCAGCCGGTCTCCCCAGGCCTCCCGAAGCCCGGGGCCCTGTCCCTGCGTTTCCTGGACCCACAGCATGTTCCCAAGCGGTTGCGATGGCCCTCGCGTCCTCAGTGCCTGCCTGCCTGAGTGGAAAGGAGCAGGGAGCGGGCCAGACTGGCCCAGCAGCCATGTGTGAGAGACCCAAAGGCTTTTATGAAGGCCGGCCCCCACTTCTTAAAAAGTCTGCCCGCTCTCCAGGCCAGGGCTGCGGCTCCACCCCGGTGGCCTCCCGCGGTCGCTGGGGTCTTCATCTTCTGACCTCACTGGGTCCCTAGTCAGTGTCATCATTCCCAGATGATCGTGATTAAGCAGAGGCTCCTCCCATGACCTTGCAAGAGGCCGCCCACTCCCCGGACCTTCACTGACCAAAACCCGTGCACGCGGACGGCCGGTCTGCCTAATTACACGGATGGTACGGACGGGCAGACGCAGAGGAGCGGGGGATATTTCCACGGCACACGTGGGTCAGAGCGTGTGACAAACCGCTCCCAGATTAGAGCTCGTCCATGCCGCCCCGGGGCAGAAGGCGGACATCACAGAGTGGCCCTCTCGCAGGGCTGCATGTGAGGGTAGCGGGGAGGAGATACCGAGGTGCCCTGGAGAAGGGCTTTGGGGCAGGAAGCCGGCGCCCTTCTGTCAGCCGAGAGCTGGAGGGAGAAAGCATGAGGCCTTTCCCCGACAGGAGCTGGGCTCAGCGGGGAGCGCAGGGAGACACTTAGGTGACAAGGCCACGGAGACAGCCCTGCGGCAAAGGGGAGACGAAATGGAATGAGCGTCACCATGCAGGAAAATGTGCTGGGTGGGACATTCCCGTGGGGCCAGTTCTGCGGGGAGGAGGAGCCTTCAGAGGAGGGGTGTGATGGAAGGCACCACTGTCCCCTGGTGGTCCTGGAAGCCATTCCTGCAAGGAGTTCGGAGTCTCCCAACAAGCTTATAGGGGAAAGGGGTGGGGCGCAGAGGAGTGAAAAAATGCCAGGGAGATTGGAGGATGGAGGGAGGACTGGTGGCCCCAGTGGCCCCCTGAGTCTGAGCCAGGGCCTCTCAGATGGACAGTGTTCTTTGAGGGGCCACTGAAGACGGGGGTCGCAGTCATGGGCGAGGCCCCGAGTACAACGTGGCTGGCTGCTGTGCTGCTGGGAATCGCCTGGCGGGATGCCTCCGGTTTCTGTTCCAGGACCCGCGTGCCCGGCTGGCCTGGAGTATAAGGAGTGTGTGTCGCCTTGCGCCAGAACGTGCCAGAGCCTGCAGATCAACGAGGTGTGTCAGGAGCACTGCGTGGATGGCTGCAGCTGCCCTGGTAACAGACTTCCCACTTCCAGCTCCGAAACCTTGCCCGCGCCCTTGGCCTTGGGAAGCCAGATGAAGGCCTCTTGTGCCCGTTTGTCAGTGCTGAAACCAGAGGCCTTTTATTTATTTATTTATGTATTTAAAAAAGTCTTTGGGCAGAAGGATCAGGAGTGAAAACGCTTGTGTCCAAGGAAGTGGGCAGACAGTCCGGGCCCCAGCAGTGACTTCATCTGGGGGCTTGTGGCTTCATCTGAGCCCTCGTGTGTTTTTCGCTTAGGTGTTAGGGAAGCAGTCGGGTAAAGAGATCTTTCAAACGTGTCCTTGGTTTGTCCCGTGAGCTCTGCCGAAAGAGGTGTCTGCACTAGAAAGGCCCTCTCAGGGGAGACTCTAAGCTTTGGAGAAAACCCCCGTTTTGTTGTTGAGAGCAAGTCCTGGAGGTTTCAGCTCAGGACTTCTCTACCGGGAGACCTTGAGCGAAACTCTCGACACCGTTTCTCCATCTGGAGAATGGTGACAAGTGACGTTCCTGCTCTCTGTCACAATGCATTAATGTGAAAGCAAAGGGCCACACGAGTTCTGAGCTCCCTGGAGGAAGTCCTACGCGTAGGACTCATGCCTGCCCCACTGGATGAGCTTGAGCCAGCAAGACCCTCCCTCGTGTGGCGTCCTGTGAAAGATAGACTCAGAACACATTCCTGGGGTTTCCTGGAAGGTGCCCTCAGCGGCGATAGCCCGGGGATCCCACAGCTGTGGGATGCGTGATGACGATGGTGCTCTGAGACCTTTGCCTTGGTGCCCTTGAACCCAGAGGGACAGCTCCTTGATGAAGACCGCTGCGTGGTGAGTGCTGAGTGTTCCTGCGTCCATTCCGGGAAGCGGTACCCTCCAGGCGCCTCCCTCTCTCGAGACTGCAACACCTGGTAACCGGGCAGCACGGAGTGGTGTGGGAGAGCTGCTGGGGGCTTTGGAGGGGACACTGGGGCAGTAGAGGCAGCGGCAGGGGGAGCAGGACCTGGCCTCCGCTGAGGGAGGAGGGACTGAGACGGCTGGTGGGGTGGTGGGAATTGGGGATGGATGTGGGAGGCAGTGATGGAGGGCAAGGATTAGACTACAGGTGTGCCTGCAAGAGCAGGAGGTCAGGAAGGGAAGGCTCCCTTAGGTGTGAACATCTCTAGATGTCCTTGCAAACTGTTTAGTGAGTGATCCTCTCTCTCTGAAGAGGGACTGCGTGACAGCCACCAAGCAGCACAGAGAGAATCTCTGAGACCTCTTGCCTACCAGGTGGGAGGAGGTGGCAGTACCCAGTGGAAACCCAGGCAGGTCGCCTTCCATGGCTCCTACAGCCAGCCATGCCCAGGAGCGCCTGCTCAGCTCGCCTCACCCCTCTGGAGCTCCTCTGGTACTGCCTCTGGCTGTTCTGCTCGCCCCTGCATCCCGGGAAGATAACACCCCATCCTCTTCCCTGTGCACCTTTCCCTGCTGGGCAGCCTTCAGAGCCCCTGGCATGACTCGGGGGCCGCCCTTTCCACAGCTCTCTCCCGCCAGCTGGAGTTGGGGAGCAGAACTTGAGCTTCTTAGTACCTGGGTATTTTCAGGGACATGAGACACTAGGTTTATTCCCCTCCCTCCTTCTTTTTTTCCCTCCTCGTTTCTGCCTTCCTTCCCTCCTTCCCTCCTTCCTTCAGTTCCCAGAGGGTACATACACTTGCATGCCAGAGACCCCCATGGGGCATGGTCATGCCACAGGCCCTTCTCCATTTCGCTCTCCCATCAGGATTTGGGGCACCCACACCCAGGATGTCCTTCAGGCCACTGCTGTGCTACCAGGCCAGCCCCAACCTGGGTTTTCTTTCTTCCTTTTCTGAGTCTCTTCCCTGTGGCAACATCTGCAAGAGTCCTGCGTGGTCAAAGCCCGGTCCTGCACCACTTTAACCTCATAAAGGCTCCTGTAGCCCCAGCCATGTCTTCTCCTCGATCTCTGGCTTTGGGTGTTGTGAGCTCTGCGGTGAGCTCTGCACCCACTGGCGGAGCTTGTGTTTGCAAAACTACCAGCAACCTGTGCTTCCTTCCCTGACAGCATTTGCCGGAACAGCCTGTGGGTCTGCAGCAATGAAGAATGCCCAGGTAGGTGACCGTCACTCCCTCCCTCCCTCCTCCGAGTGGAGAGCCATGTCATCTTATTAGAGCCTGGTGGGGGGAGAAACACCCATCAAGGCAGGGCGAGGTGGATGCCCTTGCACGGGTTGGATGCACCACCTGCTCAAAGCTCTGGGCTCACTCAGGGCCAGAGGGAAGAGCCCTGAGGTAGCTGAAAGGGGAGGATGCAGCTGAGCAAAGGTGTTATTGTTCTCTTCTCATCACCTGTTCGGTCAAAGGATTAAGGTTGATGATCTGTAAGACCAGGGCTGGCTAAACAAAGAAGCAAAATCTTTGGGAAATTAAGCGGAAAAAGGGCTTGGTAACTCTTTAGACTTGAAATGTGAGTCTTTTAATTTTTATTTATTTATTTTTTTATGCCAGAGGGAATATGGATGACAGAGATAGAAAGAGAGAGAACCCCCAAATGGGGCCTAGTTATACCATGATCCTTTTTCCTCCAGGATCTTGGGCACATATATGCTTTTCAAGCTGCTCAGACCTGGATTGGAACCCTGGTTAGTCGTGTGGGTTCCACTGCTATGCTGTGAGGCCAGCCCTGAAGGGAGAGTTGTTATGAAATTTTCTAGAATGCCTGATATGAAGACCATGGTATGGATCAAGAGCTAGGAGAACCAGTTACCAAATGATTCCCCAACCCTGTCCGTGCCCTTGAAAATCTGTTTAGGAAAACATATTTTATAATCTCCGTCCTTTGCTTTTTTCTGTTTGGACCCAACTCTGTCCTATTTACTACAAACTTGCCCGTTCCAAGCTCTCCAGAGTGACCCTACATCTACTCCCTGTGGTCACTCACTTGGTGTTTTCTGTGTACTGAACCCTGTGCTTAGCACTTCCTCTACTACCTATAGCTGTGACCCGTGAGGCGGCCACAGTTGATCAATATTCTCATTTTACAAAGGAGGAAACAGATCCAGAGAGCTTAAATAACATACCCAAGGTGGCACAGCTGCCAAGAGGCAGAGTGGGATTCAAACTTACAACTCAACTGCTTGACTTCTACGTCTGCCCCTCCCTCTCCTTTCCCTCCTGATCCTAGACTTTGGTGGGCCAAGAGTGGGTTGTGCTCAGATACCTGGGATCAGACTTGAGGTCTGCGTAGTAAAGGCTTTAAAGTCTCTCAGGACCTGGTCCTGGGCCCTTACACTGGGAAAACTTTGGAGATAGAGGGGAGTGGCAATAGATGAATCAATAATAATAATAGATTAATTAGTCTAGGGATGACCAATCATCCAGGTTATCTTTTGTGTATTCCTTAAAGAAATAATAAAGGACCATGTATTACTCTTGAAAGTGATAGTCTTGTCTATTTTTTTTTTTTTTTTGGTTTTTGCCATAGGGCATATGTGCTTGCCCGAGAGAGACAGAGAAAGACAGAGAGAGGGAAAATGAGAAATCATCCTCCAGGGAAGAGGGCCATGCCACTATCCCTTCTCTTTTGTTTTCCTCTCAGGATTTTGGGCACATGTGCATATGCCATGTGCTTGGTTTGATTTTCAAGCCACCAGATCCCGGACTAGAACCATCGTTGGCCATGTGGGAATCCAGTGCCTTAACCACCGTGCCCCCTGCTGGCCCCACATGTCTCATTTCTTGAACGCACCAGGCAAATTCATTTTTTTTTCCTTTGGAGATATTTTTTAATAGCTTTTGAAAAGATACATGAAGGTTCTGTATTCAACCTGTGTACAACTTTTCCTTTCTAAGTAAGCATGCATTACGTAAGGTCTGTGAGCCATGGTGGATGGAATTAGGAATTCAGTTTATTGTTTTTTTTTTTTCAGACTGCCTATGAGATTAGGGATTAAAAAAATTTATTCATTATAGAGAGCAAGAGAGAGAGAGAGAGAGAGAGAAAGAGAGAGAGAGAGAGAGAGAGAGGAATTGCCTCCCATGTAGGCCTGGACACTCTGCAGTCTTTTTCTTCCAATTTTCTATCCCGTCAAGGTCCTGGTCATGTGCCCATGAACTTGGCCTGAAGCTGACAGGAGCTGGGATTTGAACCCTAGTTTGCCCCATGGGATCCAACTTCCTCTGCACAGCACCTAACCACGTGCCACTGGTCATAGATTAGGAAATCTTAATAAGCACTCTCTCTAGGGAATATCTTCCAACCATCATCCCTCCCTCCATCCATTCATCAACCACTGATCACTCACCGTGCATATGATGGGACGCTCTGTCTAGGGAAGGCAATAGCATCCCGTGGTCTTCAATTCAAAATCTAAAAGAAAGCGTTGCAGAGGATGTGAGACATTCTTGTGATACCCTGATGGGAAGACAGCCAGTTCCAGCTCTGTGGCTTACTGATATTTTCCCGACAGAATCACTAAATGCGTGTCTCATCCCCAAGCTCCAGCTCTGTCCCCTTCTGTCTAGCTCTGGAGTTTTCTTGACTGTTACTCCCAGCCTGTCTCCACCCTTGGCACGCAGGTATACTTCTCCAGCTTGCCACGGCTCAGCAGGCGGTGGAGCTGTCTCATGCTCCCGCGTGTGAAGACTGCAGGTAGAGCTTTCTGATAGAGACACTAGACAGGAAGGTTCTGGAAGGGGATGCTCTGCCACTAAAGCAAAGAGCAGGCGGGGACACCTCTGCAGCCCCTGGAGGAGCCGACATTGTAAATCTTAGAAATAGAGAACTGGGTTTTGATTCTCTGCAATAAGATGAGGATGTACTAGTTAGCTATTGTAGCATAGCAAATCACCCCTAAATTTAGTAGCTTAAATCAACCGACATAATTTCAGTTTCTCTCCTTTAGGAATCTGGGTAAGAGTTAGCTGGGTGCCTCTGGCCCAAGGGCTCTCATGAAGTTGCAGCCGAACTATCAACTGGGGCTATAGTCTTATCTGAAGGTTCAACTGGGGATGGATGGGATTGCTTTGAAGCTCACTCATGCTTGTCGGCAGCTCCCCGGCCACGTAGACCTCTCCCTAGGGCTACCTTGTGACTTGACAGCTGGCTTTCCCTGGGGTGAGTGATTTCAGAGTGACTAAGATAAAGCTACCAAGATAGAAGCCACATTCTTTTTAACCCTAATCTCTGAAGTGCCATCCCATTACATCTGCTGTGTTCTATTCACTAGAAACAAGCCAGTAAGTCCAGTCTACACTCAAGGAGGGGAGGGTCACACGAAGACATGAATACAGGAGGCAGGGACCATGGGGCACGTTTTAGAGGCTGCCTACCCTGGAGTGTCATGTAGGGTCATGGGAAGGAGATGGGTGTGCCCAGGAGAGCAGCTGTCTGAACTGGGGAGGACAGGGCTTCCTGTGACATGCTCCCAGGCCTTGGTGGCTCTCTGCACAACTATGCTTACTGGCTAGGAGTTAGGGCAGCCTCAAGCAAAGTATGTTTCCCCTCATACTGTAGACTTCCCTTTCTGTAATCTGAACCCCCCCTCCTTGCACGGTAGAACTCTGCCCTCGGGAAGGTCTGCTGATTTAGTTCTCATTGAACTATGAATGTTTGGTTAGCGCCAATGTGGAAGGGACACGCTTGTCAAAACTGTTCAAGTGAATAAATCTCTTTTTAGGGAATTTCAAACTCTTAGTAGAAAAGCACGAAAGGTACCCTTCTAGGGCTGGCGAGGGGTGAATGGAAGCTTTTCAGTTGTGTCCAAACTCCCAGGAGCACTCCAGGGTGTCCTGGAACAGGGACCTGGGAGCACAGGCTTCAGACACATTCTTGGCTGGAATTCTAGTGCCTCTGCTTACCCATTGGCTGACTTGGGGCGAGCTCCTTAATGATCTGCAGCCTCAGTTTCCTGGTCTGTAGAAGAGGGAGAGAACAGCAGCTTCGTCTCCTGGCTGTGGTTGAGGTGTTCTTACTGAATACGCAGCAAATGCTCAGTAAATATCAGTTGTTCTCGTAGTTCACAGAGGCAGTCATTCCACTAAGCAGGGTCAGAGAAGGTCTGAGCAGGGGCAGACGAAAGAGCCACAGTGGGCAGGGGTGGTGTGAGGTGAGGTGTGGCTAGGGCAGATGGGACAGGAAAGTGAGACAGGACACCCTTAGGAGGTCCGTGGACCTGCCCTGGTTGTTTGGAGGGAAGCCTTGGTGTACACTGTTGCCCGTTTGGTTCAGGTTAATTTCAGACAGATTTTAATGCAGCCCTGCAATGTGACTTGGGAAGGTCAGTCTGTGTGAAGCCTCGTGGGCTGATATTCCAGCACCTGGCAGCCACATCCCTGGCTAACAGAGACAGTGATGAGGAAACGGGGCGGATGCCTCTCCAACAGGACGGGATGTTCTTAGTGCTTGCGCTTGCCTGGGGTTGGTCTGTCTTCCCCCTGCCAGAGTTCACAGAGACTCCAGTTGCCTGTCTTGGCCCCTGCTGGATTTCTGGAATCCCATCAGTCCTCCGCCAGGCCATGCCTGAGCATCACATTTTGTAGCCAAGGCTTTCTCTGCCCAGTCTTGTACCTACACCCCAGGCACCTGCCCCCGTGTGCCCAGGGACAGAATGACCTCAGGCTCTGAGCAGCTGCAGTGACCCCTGAGGCCATGTTGGGTGGGGTCCCCATGCCTGTGTCACTCTTAGGGACCCAGGGAAGCTTCACTTCTCTCCCCTTGCGGCCCGGCTGCCTGGCCGTGGGTGTCCTAGGTGTCCCCATCTGGGCAGCGGATGGGCATGGCCGTGTGGCCAGTTGATATGGCTGAAGTCCTGGCTCCAGGGTCTGCTGCTATCCGGCAGCTCACTCATCTGTCTTCGTGGGTTTCCTGTGCCTGAAGCTCCGTCCCGCAGTTGTACCAAGGAGATAAGCGAAATGTAATATTTAGACTTCTGTTCCTGAGAAACTTGGGAACACAGATCAGGGAGGTCAAGCAGGAAATCAGATCAGAGCAGTAGATACCAGCCTTGAGAGTTTTGCTTTTGAATATTTGCACATTTTCTCTTTGACCCCTCTTTCCTGGGCATTGTCTGCGATAATAAAGTCCAGTTTCTTACTCAGATAAACATGTGCTTGAGAAAACAGGGGACTGTGAGGGGAAGCTCCCACCCATTTGGACTGCGACATGGTCAAGACATTTGACCCAAGTGACCATATGATGGGGATTTCTGAAATTAGTCATTTTTTTAATTAAAAATTTTAAGATTTTTACAATAGGGCATGTGTGCTTGCCAGACAGAGACAATGAGAGAGAGAGTGAGAGATCACCCCCTAGGCATGATGGCCACACTGCAGTCCCTTCTGTATTCTCATGGGATTTGGGCATGCACGCACACGCACCCTATGTGATTTTCAAGCTGCCAGGTCTGGGACTTGAACAGCTGTTGGTCACGTGGGAGTCCAGCACCTTAACCACTACACCACCTGCTGGCCCTGAAAAGTAGTCATTTGAGAAAGGCTTTCCCGTGACATCACTGTACTTGATGTTCCTGCCCTTCCTGGAGGCTGTGGTGGGTGGAGGGAGAGGAAGGTGATGTTGGTGAGGATGACCTGGGGCCTCTGGACCTGCTCCTGACCTCATCTGGGCTGCAAGCGTCCTCCTAGCCTGTCACCTGGATGGGGCTGGCTGTCCTGGGGACCGGGCAGGGGGACCCTCACCATCACCTGGGCTGCTCATCCCTGCCCATGCCTTTGCATACCTAAGGCAGGACTGCACCCAGGTCTGCAGCTGCTCGGGGGCCGGG